TGTTACTTTAAATGTATTACTTGGGGGATTATGCAGAGAAGGTAGGTTCGAAGAGGCGCTTCAGATGCTCGACAGCTCGAGAAACTGCCAAATGAGGGTGTTTACTTGAACAAAGCAAATTACAGAATTGTATTGAATGCATTGGGCCAAAATGATGAAATGGAGAAGGCAACTAGCTTGTTGGGTCTGATGTTGCGGGGGGGTTTTCTGCATTATGCAACATCGAATGAGCTGTTAATCCGACTTTGTAAACGATGCGGTTACGGCAATGTCGGGATTGGCCGAAACCGGGTTTAAACCAGAACTACATTGTTGGGAGTTTCTAATTGAACTGAATTGCAAAGAAAGGAAGTTGCTTCCTGTGTTTTCTAAATCCGACGAACGAAATAATTTGTCTCGACTATCGGAGTAAATAGATTTCTAAGTAAGAACATAGATGTGCTTGATTGAACAAGACAATGCATTGGATTAGACCCAAGTTGAATTAATATTAAATTTGATTATAGATTAAAATCACTTGAGGTTCATTATATATTTACTTCAATTTTGAGTAAATAATCTTTGATTTTGAGTAAATTTAGAGCTATTTATGTATGATTTGCATGCTCTGATGTAAGGAGTAGAGATGCACATAGCCGGATTTAAATCCGATTCGGATCGGATAAAAATCGATCCGGTTTTTTCACTAAGCCAAAAAATCGGTTTATAAAAAAACCGGTTCGGATCATAACCGGTTTGGAGAGACGGATGATGTAACCGGAGTAACCGGTTTCGGTTTGAAAAAAATCGGTTTTTTAAAAAACCGGTTTTTAATCCGGTAAAAAATCCGGTCATCCAATTTTTAAACCCCAGATCGGATTTTTAAACCCCAGACCGGATTTTTTTTCTGGATAAAAAACTGGTTTTTTATCCGGTTTTTTTTCAAACCGGTAAAAAATCCGGTCGTCCAATTTTTTCTCAAATCGGTTATACTATCCGGTTTTAAAATATCCGATCTGGTTTTAAAAAAATCGGTTTTTCCCAAATCCGGTTTCGGATATTTTTTGCACAAAATCGGATATTTGGATTTTTTGTACACCGGAGTAGAAAATTGAAGACTAATGTGTATGTAACTCATGATAGTTGCATTGAAGATATGTAATCATAACTCAATTAAAGATTATAATTGTATCTTATAAATGTCAAGGATGAATGATGTATACTCATACTTGATGTATTTGCATTTGTGAAAATAAATATGATCATGGGTCATTGTCATTTAGGGATGGGCATGAGTCGGTTGGGTTTCTGGTCGACTCGACTTGATCCGAAAAATTATATACCTTTCACCCGACCTAAACTAGACTCTAAAATTATACATCTTTCACCCGATTTGTCCTTTTTGAGATAAAACTCAAACTCAATTTGACTCAAAATAATATATTTATAAAAAAATATTACTTTTATTCAATAAAAAAATACTCAAAATGATATTTTTATTAAAAATATTACTTTTATTCAATAAAAAATAGAGATTTACTTGGAAAAAAAATATATAGAGAGAGAAGTTTTATTGTAATTATCCTTAAATATATAAGATAAAATTATATTTTTTCGGATCGAGTTGGGTTGGATACTTTTCAACTGAAATCTGATCTGACCCATTTCAAATATAATCTCTAAAAAAATTTGACATGAACCTATTTTTTTTAAATTCGCCTGGATAAAATCCGATCGAAACCCGTCGAGTTCAGTTTCGTGCCAATCCCTATTGCCATTCGTTATGAATCTTTACTCACAATGTTAATATATTTGTGTCATAGTGTAGTAACTGTTTTGTTTAATTATTATATTCATTTAAATTGATCCATTCAATAAATTTTTGCATCTATCTATTTATCTCTTGCGTATATTTGACTTTATGATTATCAAGCCATTCAACTGAATATAAATTACATTATTATTTATAATGTAAAATACAACATATATCATTGTAGTCCATAAATATTATTTAGAAAATTAATAGTAAAAACAAATAATATTACGTGTCAAACAATGATTTTAATGGGATGATTCTATAACGCTCGACGATCGACGATGAGCATCATTAATTTAATTATAAAAATTTAAAATTCTAAAGGAATCAATGTATAATTATAAATTAATTGAAAATTTAAGGGTAAATTATTTAAAATAAAAGGTAAATTATATCGTGACTACCTAACTATTGCCACTTTTTTTTATTTTGACCATCAATTTTAAAATTTTGTCAATCATGCCACTCAACTATTTAAATGCATTCAATTAAACCACTTGATGTTAATATTTAACGGAAAAGCAAATGTGGAAGTTAAAATATTTGGTATAATTACACATTTGATTAATATTACTTATATATTCAATCAATTTGGTCCTAATTTTAATAAATCAAATATACCAAAGTAGTTAATTGGAGAAGAAATTTAATGCCATCCAGTACAATTTTTCCTTTTTTTCTTTATCGACTTTTATAATTTCTAATAATAAAGTAAAATAAACATGTCAATGTTTGGTGATGATAAGTGCCTGCATGTCTCCATGTTCTTCGCTTTTTTAGCTTAAAATATTATATTTTACATTGATACACGTAAAATAATTAGTGTGACAAATGCATGTGTTTAAATTATATCTTTCAATGATTTTAGGAGTTTAAATTAGGTGTTTTATTTTATTTTGTAATTACTTTTAGACCGTTTGTTTAAAAATATTTATTTTTTATTAGTCAGTTATCCACGTATTATAACTTTATTTTTACCAAATTTGTGACATTATAAGTAAAATCTAATTGTTTTGGATTATTTTTTAAGAGTTTAAATTTAAAAAACGGTGGTCAAAATAAAAAGAGTTAATAGTTAGGTGGTCACTTGTATATTTTACCTTTTATTTTAAATAATTTACCTATAACTTTTCACCTAATTTATAATTATACGTTGAGCCCTTTAGAATTTTAAATTTTTATGAATTAAATTAGTGGTGTTCATCGGTGCTCTTCGAACGATGTAGAATTTTCCTTTTTTAATGATCATTGATGGGTCAAATAAAATAAAACCTTAAATACCTTAAATGATAACTTTGAAAAGGTTAAGACCTACTTCAAATAAGAAAGTTAGACACCTAATATAAATAAAAGATATAATTTAAAGACTTGTTTTTTTATTAAACATAAATTAAACAATAGAGTTTTTCAATGATCATTAAACCCAGGGGCTTCGAAATGACACCTTTTTCAATTTGTGTCAATATGATCACTGAAATATTTAAATGGTTTCAATGTAGCCACATGCCGTTAACATTTAACGGAAGTGTTTTAACAAAATTGGTATAAATAAGGTATGAATCCTTGTAAAGTTACGTATTCACGGCGTTGACACCCTGCTTTGTTTTATTCCATTTTGGTCACTATATGCATTTGATTTGTTTCCTTGGATGATCATTTAATGCAATTTGATCCCGATTTTGTTTTTATGCCATAACCACTTAGCTAATACTCACACTTGTTATTGAGATAATACATATGTTATATAACTTTTCAAGTTTAGGTAGAAAAAAATTAAAATAACTTAATTGGATTTGAACCCAAAATGAATTAGTAATCAAGCAAGCCTTAATTAAGCTAAAGCTAATACTTCATATGTTCCATAAAAGTAGTCCATTATTGATTTTTTTTCTGGTCATTTTTTTTAAAAAAATTGACTAATTATTATTTAAAATTTATAATTGATAAAAATATGTTTTAAAAACCTTCAATCAAGTATTTTTAAATATATATTTTATAAAATTTAATTATTTAAAATATTTAAAATAATCAAGGCTAAAGTTTAAATTTTTTGACTTTTTAGATGTCAACAAGAGACAGATTTTATGGAACGGAGGGAGTATTTAGGAATCAATTATAATATTATATAAAAATATTATATTATAGTTAATGATAAAAACGGATAAGTAAGAACATACATATAGACCAATTGAGAATACGACAACACTTAAATCATTAGAATAAATCTAATAATTTATTTATAATCGATTTAAGATTTTAATGATTATATATATGAAATCATTAAAAGATAGTTTAATATTCAAATTATAAATTTATATTTTGATTTTAAACTGTGCTCGTGAGTTCGGGTATGTTAAATAGATTTTTAATTTAATTTTAAATATAATTTCATATATATAATCATGAATAAATAAATATAATTTTAATAATTTTAATTGTAAAAATATTAAAATATTAAATTAATTATAAAAAATATATTAGATTTTTAGCAATTTAAGTGTTATCATGTTCTCAATTGGCCTAGATTTAAGTCCTCGTTTATTTTTATTTCTATAAAAAAATATTTTAATTGATTCCTAAATATTAGATTTAGCCTATTGGTTAAGGCTTTGCTTGGTTACTAACTGATATTGGGTTCAAATGCAATTAAGTTATTTTAGTTTTATTTTTTTACCTAAACCTGAACAAGTTATATAACATATGTATTAACTTGATAACAAGTGTGAGAATTGGCTAAGCGATTAAATCTAAAATCTAGGGAATTTAATCTATAAATTTAATATATTACTAGAATAAAATAGTTTAAAGTTAATGCTTAAATTAAGGCATTAGACAAATTAAAAACAGAATCAATATCAAATTGCATTAAATGAAAATCAAAAGGAACAAATCATATACAAGTAGTGACCAAAATAGAAGAAAACAAAATAGGGTGCCAACGATGTAAATACATAACTTTACAAAGATCTGCACCTTATTTATACCAATTTTTTTTAGCTGTCACTTAAACGCATTCTCTAAATGTTGACGGCATGTTGCTATATTGAAATCATTTAAATATTTTAGTGGTCATATTGATATAAATTTAAAAAAGATGATCATTTAGAGACCAAACCCATAGATGAGTGGTCATTTGTGTAGATTACCCTTTTTTCTGTCTTTTCCTTTCAAAATCAGGGTTTATTCATCAAGCTCTGGTTCGGTTGTGTGGTGAGCCAAATGAAGTCTCCATTAAAAACTCCTTCATCCATTCCACCTTTCTTTCTCCGTCGTTTCCCAATCCCCAAACACATATGCTCTCAGCCCCAAACCCCAATTCCCACTGAGAAAATCACCTCAGATTCAAGCTTGACCCAAACCCATGTGATAAACGCTCTTCTATGTCACAAAAACGACCCCGTATCGGCTTTGAACTACTTCCGTTCCGTCAAAAAGAAAGGAGGGTTTGTTGAAAGCATTGATGTCTTTTGTGTTCTGCTTCACATTTTGGTTGGTTCTTCACAGACCCAAAAACAAGCTAAGTATTTGCTTAACGATAATTTCGGTTCTGACCGTTCAGGGCCCGCTCCTTCTGTTTTCTTAGATCATTTGGTTGTTACCTCGAAAAGATTCAATTTCGAGTTGAATTCGATAGCGTTTAATTACTTATTGAACAGTTATGTTAGAGTCAATAGGATTGATGATGCCGTGGATTGTTTTCATGGAATGCTTGAGCGTGATGTGGTTCCTTGGATTCCCTTTATGAATAGTCTTTTAACAGCATTGTTTAGGAGGAATTTGATGGATAAAGCTAGGGAGTTGTATGGTAAGATGGTTTCCATCGGAGCTAGAGGCGATTCTTTTACGGTGTATGCGATGATTCGTGCTTTTTTGAAAGAAGGGAAGCCATGGGAAGCTGAGGGATTCTTTAGGGAGGCGAAGGCTCAAGGGATAGACCTTGATGCAGGGGTTTATAGTATTGCTATTCTCGCTGCTTGTCAGAAACCTGATTTGAACATGGCTGGAGAGTTATTGAGGGAAATGCAGGGAAGGGGATGGCTGCCTTCTGAGGGTACGTTAACAACGGTTATCGGGGCTTTCGTAAAACAGGGAAAGTTGGCAGAGGCGTTGAGGCTCAAGGATGAGATGTTGAGTTCTGGGATGCCATTGAACGTGGTGGTTGCGACTAGTTTAGTGAAGGGGTATTGCAAGCAAGGTGATATCGATCGGGCTTTGGATTTGTTCAATAAGATTAAGGAGGATGGGGTTGCTCCTAACAAGGTTACCTATACAGTTTTGATTGAATGGTGTTGTAGGAATAGGACTGTTGAAAAGGCATATGAGCTCTATGAAGAAATGAAAACCATGGGTATACAACCTACTGTTTTCAATGTGAATTCCTTGATTCGCGGGTTCTTAGAAGTCCATTCACTAAATGAGGCATCGAGTTTGTTTGATGAGGCAGTTGAGTCCGGCATTGCCACTGTTTATACATATAATATTTTCTTATACCATTTCTCTAAGGATGGTAAAGTGAAAGAAGCTTGCGGTTTATGGCAGAGAATGGTGACTAATGGCCTTGTACCAAGTAATGTTACTTATAATAACATGATACTTGCCTACTGTAAAGTGGGGGACATGGATATGGCACATACTATATTTTCGGAGATGGTTGAACGGGGCTTTAAACCTAATGTCATCACCTATTCGATGTTAATTGATGGGCATTTCAGTAAAGGTGACGCTGAACGGGCATTAGACGTGTTTTATGAAATGGTGGGTGTGCATATTGCCCCTTCGGACTACACATTCAATATAATCATCAACGGTTTGAGCAAAGTCGGTCGTACATGCGAGGCTAGGGATATATTGAAGATATTTGTCCAAAAGGGTTTTATCCCGTCATGTATGACATACAATAGCATTATCAATGGATTTGTTAAAGAGGGTGCCATGGACTTTGCCTTGAGAGTTTATAGAGAAATGTGTGAAAGTGGAATTTCTCCCAATGTTATCACATATACATCAATGGTGAATGGATTATGCAAATGCGATAACATGGATCTTGCCTTGAAAATGCATTACGAGATGAAAAGCAAGGGTCTTCAATTGGATGTTCCTGCATTCAGTGCCCTCATCGATGGGTTTTGCAAGAAGCGTGACATGGTCCGAGCAGGTGAGCTTTTTTCCGAACTCCAGCAAGTCGGGTTATCTCCTAACGAAATTGTTTACGGCAGCATGATTAGTGGGTTTAGGAATGTAAATAATATGGAAGCAGCTAATGAGTTGCACAAGAAAATGATAAGTGACGGAATTCCTTGTGATCTACATATTTACACCACACTAATTGATGGATTTCTGAGAGAGAGTAAGTTACTTCTTGCCTCTGATCTTTACTCAGAGATGCTTGCCAAGGGTATTGTGCCTGATATAGTCACTTATACTGTTCTGTTAAATGGTCTTTGTAAGAAAGAGCAGCTCGAGAATGCTCACAAGATTTTGAAAGAGATGGATCGACAGGGCGTTACTCCTAACGTTCTTATATATAATTCTTTGATTGTGGGACACTTCCGAGAAGGGAATCTCGAAGAGGCTTCAAGATTGCATAATGAAATGCTTGACAGAGGTCTTGTACCCGACGACATGACTTATGATATACTCATAAATGGAAAAGTCAAGGGTGAAAATACGCCTTCTGGAGTTTCATGCGCATAATTAGCCAACAAATTTCTGCTATTGAAATGCTCTATATTTCGATGGATTTCGAAGACTGTTGACAAGAAGCATACAGGGAACTCCAGGTTTGTGTATGACTACATCAACCTCCCAGGTTGTCGAGTCACATCAGATCTATATAATAAGCTGCAATCTTCAAACGATATGGTAATAATTCCTTCCCTTGAAAATAACTTTTGACAAGTCCATCTTCTTTCTTCTCGATCAGTTTGTTTAATTATGCCGTGGACTAGTGATACTTTTTTTCTCTACGCCTGCCTTCTTGCTTACATAGATAAAATGTTCGGTTTCGGTGTGCGAGTACCGCCCGGAAATCCTCCTGTTATTTTCCTGTTTACTTTTGATATCTGGTTGATGTCACCATGGATAGAAGAGGGTGTAGTTTGGCTATGAACACCATGGTTAGGCAAAGATATGATCTGAATTCTCTAGGGAAGATAAAAGATTGAGCTGCAGTGCTTGTGAGCTTATGTTCCCTGTACATTAGCCCTTGCTTTAAACTCCAAATTTGGAATCCAGTGTTAAAAGTTTCTCTTCCATGCTTTATGTAAATGTAAGACATTCGACTTGGGAAATCTGCATGGCTTGATGGTAAGCATTTGATAATTATTCTGGGTAGGGGATCGAGTTGAGTAAAAAAAATCCGAGTTAAATAAGTTTAAGAGTAACATTTTATCATTGAAATTTTATTCGATTTTTTATTCGAGTTTATAAAATTTAAATCTAATATATTTGTTTAAATTTAAATGTAATTATTTATAAAGTAATGTTGATTGATTCTAGTTTAAATGATTATCTCTAACCATATATTTTCATATACCTTTTCACACGTGTAATTAAAATTTATGATATTATATTATTGATTTGTTCTAACTTAAATGATTATCTCTAATCATTTATTTTCTCTGTCCCATTAAATGTGTCTCTTTTAATTTTTAAAATTATCTCATTCAAAATATCTTATTAAAAAAATTAACGAACAATAATTTTTATATTTCTTTTTTCACTCTTATATGTTCTTGTTTTATAACCGTCAAAACAAATTTATTAAATTTGTCAATTTTGTCATTATTCTTGGTTAAATACATCTCTTAAAGCTATGTGCATAGTCAATATAAAACATAATAGAGTCTGTTATATATATACTATTTCTCTTCACGTGTAATTAAAATTTATAGTATTTAACAAAAAATAAGTTGGTCTAGTGGGATGAGACATTAGGTCTCTTAAGCAAGGTCGGGGTTCGAATCTTGACATTTACGAATGAAGTAAACTGGGTTAGGAGGATTGTCATCGCCTTTGCAATATCCGATCTGGATTAGTCGGTGTCAAATGATTCTTCTTCGGATCGAGGAATGACTTCAAAAACGACGACATTTTGGCTCCTCTCTCTTCTCTAAGCCTTGAGATTTAGTTTGGGTTATATGATTGTCTCCTTTCTATCTTCTTCTGGAAGGGTCCCCAGTGTAAACGTGGCAATATATTCATCCTAGAATTTTAGTAAGGTATTATTGAATCCTTACTATTTGGGTCAAATTAAACATATACTCATCTAATCACAAGGTCATTGTTATTTTAGCATACTTTTTCTTGATTTTTCCTTTATGACGAGCGGTGACGAAATTTGATGATAAAATTTGAAGGTTAACTTAAAATTTTAAAAAATTCAGAGGTTCAATTTAAAAAAAAAAAGTTAAAAGGTTTTAGTTTGCATTTTTTAAAACAAAAATTAGGGTCTAATTATATTTTTTAAAATTTTGAGAGCTTCAATGATTTTTTTTTTTAAAAATATAGGAAGTTTAATTAAGAACCTTCAAAATTTTAAAATTTAATTTGAATTTCCAAAAATTTAATAGAATAAATTATTTTAAAAAAAAATTTAAGTGTAAGTTTTATTTTTTTTAAAATTTTGGGGAGCCACGGCCCCACTATTCTCACTTTGTTCTGCCATTGAAGACAAGGGATGAAATGATTGGTCATTTCTTAAAAAATTTAATATATTTTTTATTAATAATTTATTTATACCTTTTAATTTTTATAATTTTATTCTTCTAAAATTTTATAAATTTGTTTTTAACCTATAACCATGCATAGAGAACTACATATTATTCATGTGTGGAGACGTAGCTAAGATACTTTCAACAAAATGCTAAAGATAATAACCATAAACAATAAAAAATAAACAATCCATCATATAGCACAAATCAAATTAACTCGATCGTTAAAGGAATGATTGTTATTTCTAGAGATCTCGAGTTCGAACATCAACGACTACATCATGGGTGATTAAACGTTTATTAACAAATGATTGAGAATCTATATGTAAAACAAATATTACTTTATAATAAACTTGACATAATAAAAAAAACCAATCTATCATATATATATATAAGCTTATACAATACTTTAAAATTTAATCAGATTCATAACATGAATTTGATTTATTTTATTAAACTGATGTAATTATAATATAATATATGTTAGAAAAAAAACTTATTTTAAGGAGACGAAAATAAACTTTTGATAAAAAAAATATAACGGAAATATCCCAGATATTTAGAAAATTAAAATTTTTTTGAAGACGACTACCCCATACTCCCCCGCCTGAGTCCATCATCTGTATCGATACCTTTACGATTCGTCGGTATCGATACCAATGGGTTAATATCTATATTCAACCTTTGGTATCTATATTTGTTCTAGGGTATCGACACAGACGGAGTCAGGATTGAACTACAAGTATCGTCAATGCAACTCCACTGTTGGGGTAATTTGACAATTCACATTATAACATATTAAGAGAAGTATACACGGTATAGGGATCATCAATGCAACAATATAAGCGTTCTCCAGCACTCTCCGGTATATCAAGAATCCGATAAAGAAGAACCCGGCCACATTCTAGCACATTAGTAGTAAAGCTTCACGGGTACGTCCGAGAAGGCTTAATGCGGTTGCAGTAATGTGATGTCCGGTTAGCCCGGCAAGAACAAGCTGTTCTCCGGGCGATGCATGCTCGATATAGTTGTCCGGCAATACAATTGGTCGCCACTGTTGAAATTCTTTCAGTAAATCATCAGTATTACGAGGCAATATTTAACAGAATATTCGCCCCAACCCTATGCTCAAAATCTAACTAGCAAATGATTATATTACCTTGAGTCTTCCATCGAGCTGTCCATCAAGCGCAATGAACTGGGCAACGTGGGAGCCAAATCCTCCAACGGAACCTTCCTCGACGGTTATCAGAATGTCATGATTGCTACAAAGCTGCCTGAGAAGCTTGATATCGAGAGGCTTGCAGAATCTTGCATCGGCAACAGTTACACTAATGCCGAGTTTGGAAAGAAGGGCCTGAGCTTTTAGACAGTTTTGAACCATTGCCCCATACCCAAGTAAAGCAACATCTTTACCCTCAACAAGAACTTTACCTGTTCCAATCTGGTTTATGGTCAAAATTTCATATAACGAATCAGTATCGTAAAATTTTAGCATTTGGAATTCACGTATGAAAACATCTAAAGAGTTAAAAGCCTTTTTCCGATTAATAAAACTAAAAAAGCGAGCCAACAAATTAGAAACAAAGGGCATTAAAGGATGATAACCTCAAGAGCATTTCCACCACGTATAGGATAATCTCTCATGACTAGGGCACCCCTTGGATACCGAAAGCAAACCGGTCGATCATCAATCTGGGCAGCAGTAGTAACCATGTTCATCAGCTTATCCTCATCCGATGCTGCCATGACAATCATGTTTGGTAAACATGACATGAAGGTTATATCAAATGCACCACACTGCAAAGGACCATCAGATCCTACCAAGCCTGCACTCGTAATGACAAATCGCACGGGAATACTCTGCCGATCTACATCATGGACAACCTGGAAGCATAAAAATTTTATCCACATCTACTTTCTGCGCAGTAGAACAGTCTTATGGCGCAACACTTAACACCAGATTTCACATACATAAATGAGTACTCAGTTAAAAGAGGAAGAACTACATTATGAAAAAAAAATTGACGATCGTGAATGCGGAGAGGGAGGAAGAGAGAGAACCTGATCGTAAGCTCTCTGCAGGAAGGCAGAAGGAATTATGCAAAATGGCTTTAACCCTCCACATGCTAAACCAGCTGAAAATGTAACTGCATGTTGCTCGGCCATTCCAACATCGAAAAACCTGTCAGAAAATTGTTCTCGAAATAACTTAAGTGATGGATCCATTTCCATTCCAGCATGAACTACTACAATATCTTTGTCTTTCTCTGCCTCCATAATCAAAGCCGTCACCAAGCAATCACTGTAAGTTTGGCAACTATCACCATTTGAGAAAGCATAAATGCCATTTAGACTTAAGCCTGTAAGGAAATACAAGTGTAGTGAGGAGAGGTTAGCAGTACACATGCAATGTGCAATTTCCTGAGGAGAATGGAAAAAATTAATGGTTTGCAAACAAAAATCAATCACATATATTAGTCATTTTCAGATCTGAGCTGTTTTCCTCAGGGCATTAAGACAAACGCCCGATTCTGTTATAAAACAGAAGGGAGCCTCCTTGAGAATGCACTCTAGGATACATGAAAATACATGGATAATAAACCGACCATAGAGAAAAAGAAGTTCCTTATTATTATATGTTTTCCATCTATGCCTGTAATCAACATATTAAAGAAATAGTAGGCAACAATAGATGTATTAATTGTAGTTAAGCCAAACTAGCTTTATGCCTCATTAATTGAAGCAGAATTGATAATAATTTTTGTAACAAGCACGGTTTAAGGACATGTAGAAGGAGGGATACCTTCTTGCTGCTGCTCCACTGTCCCTCTCTTTTGGTCAGCTCCTGAACCTTGATTTTCCTCTGTTATCACATGAACCAACACCGGACCCATTGAATCCAGTGATGCCACTTCTTGTAGAACACATATCAAATCTTCTGTGTTGTGTCCGTCAACAGGGCCTATATAATACAGCCCAAGCTCTTCAAAGAGAGTTGATCCAGGTGGACCCATCATACCACGTGCATACTCGTCAACTTTGGCTGCCAGTTCATGCATTCCCTTACCAATTTTTTTGGTAACATCCTGAAAAAATAAAGATTTATTTATTACATGGAAATTATGTACTCCTTTAACAGAGCATAACGATTTCCTTTTTGAACTTGTCTCGATGGAAGTTTCAAAGAAAGAACTACCAACACGTAATCTTTTGTTGCCAATATGCGGTCCAAGGACCTCAACTACCCAAACATTTATTTTATAATCACCTTATTTACTTACTACATCTATTAACTCTAAAATCCAGGCACTTTTCTCCGAATTCCTGAACTCCAAATTCCAATCACCCCCAACAAAAGACAGACTGATAATTGATTGTGTGATAGAATAGAGTACATTACGTCCAAATGGATTTTATGAAAATGTATGAACGAAAATGGCAGTACCAGCGGTAACATTGAAAATACACTTGCATTTGAGACAACTTTCAATGTGAGGCATCTTTGAGTATTCACTTACAAACAGGAAGGGACAAAAA